CTCCAAATGGTTGTTTGGAATAGGAATTTGTTGGATTTCCTTCCCAAGAATTGCTCAAGTAAGTTTGAAAAACCATTCTTCACTTTTGATTTGTTTAAATCCAAGAAATAATAGAAGGAAAGTGTTTCAAGTTCTTGATTTTAACTTTTCTTAAGATTGGAGAGCTTTTCTTAGATTACTTTTAGTATGTTGATATTGGAGAGATGTCACTCAAGTTTTATGAAGGAAGTCGTTGTTGATTGAGACTGGAAGACGGTGTTCTGATGAACGTCAAGTAATGGTAAGTTTTTTAAGTTTTGAATTCTTGACAAAATTTATACTTGATTATTTCTTGCTACGGGAGACGGGAAATTCAGAGAAAAATACATATATGTAGATGGGTTAAAAATCTACATATTTGGTAATGGAATCAAATTGATTCGAGGTCTCGGTAAGAAGTTACAAAATTCAAAAGTTATTACAAAGGAAATTTGGAACCACATCGTTTTTCTGAAAAATTGAACATGGATGAAGAGGGAGCGGACACGCGTTGGTAGGTGGCGGCGATAGTGCGTCTGTAGTAGAGTGGGACACGTGGCAACACATTGAGTGGAGATATTCATTCGACTACTTGTGGCGACACATGTGCGGGTTGACCCGATTCGACAACTCGTGTTTAACTCGAGACTTGCACGCCCGCAACTTGTGAACCTTCGACCAAAATCGGAAGTGCAACTCGAACCCAATCCAGTTATTTGACTGCTGATTCCTATTTGCAGCAACCCTCTGCATGTGATAGTTTTGCGTAAAATCGCGCATGAAAAGTCTTTCCCGGTGCGTTTAAGTTTGTGTGAGTCTCTTCTTCCCCCGTTTGACCTATATTTAACAATTCTTCATTTCAATATTAATACTAACCATGATAGTGCTTGAAATAGGACCTACGGGAGAAATTTCAAAAATTTTGGAACTTCTAACATGCGAAAAAGCTAGCTCAGGCAAACATATATCATCCAAGTAGGTAACCACAAGAACTTTAGGGAAGTAATACTTATAGGGATTGCTAGGACGTGCTAGCATGCGAGCATTACTTACGTTTGATGGTTAGAAAATGCATGTTAAGGACTTGAGAAAGGTGTATTTGGATAAGTATGTACTATATGTATGTGATGGTAAAATTACTATTATGCCCTTGGTTGATATTTCTGGGAAACATGTTGTTTTATGTATTATGTAAAGCTAGATATGGGATATGCATGACTAGAATATCAATTGAGCAATAAAGATGAGTATGTTATGCACGATGTAAGAAATTACAAAACTGTCTCTACGATGATATGTTTTTTTTAATGTTGTTTTATATGCTTTCTCTTGTGTTAGAAAAGAGGATGGACTATTTTGATCTATGTTCTGGGTGATCAATGGATGTTGTCTCCCCGTTGAGTTTTTTTACTTGTATATATGTATTATACATTATGTCTTAACCCTAAGTGTTTAACTGTGTGTTTTCCTTGTAAAGCGTGTTTATCTACACAGAGCTAGATGTTAGATTTAGGTGTTAGAATAATTTGATTTGGTTAAATAAACATCATTTTTTTCATATAGTTAGATTATTTTTTTCATATAGTTAGATTATTTTTAGCTATTTAGTTTATCTACTCTTTATTTCTCTTAGTTATTCGTAAGGCTATAAAAGCCAAGTTCAACATTCAATAATATCATCAAACTCAAATCGTTTAGCCAATTTCAATATTCAATAATATCATCAAACTCAAATTGTTTAGCCAAGTTCAATATTCAATAATATCATCAAACTTAAATTGTTTATGTTTCAGGCTTAGTCATTCTTCGATCAAAATTGGACTGAGAAAAATATTGAAATTTATGAGAACACAGCTGAAGAAGGAGAAATCACAGAGGAAAGGACAAAACCGATTGCTGAAACAATTGAACCAGTTGCTGAAAACGAAGAGGAAGAAATCACGGAGGAAACAACTGAACTAGTTGCTGAAACCGTCGAACTAGTTGCTGATAACACTTTTCTAGTAGCTATTGCACAAAATTTGTCAATAAGGGATGGGAGAAATCGACATCCACCTGTATGGTATGCATATTATAATTTCGGTGAAGGCTTATCTGAAGAGGATGAAGAAAAGGAATTCTTAATGATTTCAGATCCGGTGCATTTTGAGGAAGTTGTCAAAAGTCCAAAATGGAGATTGGTTATGAATGAAGAAATCAAATCCAATGAAAAAAAAAACGAGACACAAAACTTGGAGGTTCTACCGGCGGGGAGCAAGGAAAATAAGAGAGAAATGGATTTATAAGAGCAAGATAAATGAATCTGGAGAAGTTGATAAATACAAAGCAAAATTGACGTTTAAAGGCTACACACAAGAGTAATGAATTGATTTTACGGAAGTGTATGCACCTGTGGCCAGAATAGATACTGTTAGAATGATAATTGCTTTTGCAGCCTAGAAAGATTGGAAACTCTATCGGTTAGAAGTCAAATCAACTTTTTGACGAGTTAAAAGAAGATATTTTTGTTGAACAACCAAAATGCTAATTCCAAATGGGAAGTGAGGGGATGGTGTACAAACTCCAAAAGGCTCTCTATGGGTTAAAACAAGCACCTAGAACATACGTTTAGTCGAAAAGAATCATACTTCATTAAGAAAGGATTCAAAAGCAGTTCCAATTAGCAGACACTCTTCATCAAGAGGAAGGGAGGCAAAATTCTTATTGTAGGCATTTATGTTGATGATCTTTATTTATTTGAGATGATGAATAATTATTGGAGTTTAAATGTTCATGAAGAAAGAGTTTGATAGGACTGACTTAGGTCATATGAGATTTTTGGTCCTTAATCTCAAATTAATTAATTAATTAATTAATGTTTTGATGATAACAAACCTACACCTAATTGTTAACAATTATCAGTCTAAAGTGTAAAAGTTGGAAATAACGATTCCAACGCGTTTTTCTATTACTCAAATAAGAGCCAAAACGAAGAAGTTACGGTCCAAACAAAATGTCTGACGTGCTGATGTGGCGGCAAAATTGAATCATTAACCAATCAAAGTAGGACACTTAGAGGGAGCTTTTAATTACTTTTAAAAGCCAGGTTTTATAACAACGATCATATATAATTTGAATTATAAAAATAAAATAAAAAATCGTTATTCACATTATTTTTATTAATTTTATATCATATTTAAATATTTAAATATTTGAATATATATATATATATATATAAAATTTGGAAACATATTTATTCTCGCATTATTTTTATTAATCGTGTACCTTTCATTTTTGTTTGAACACAATAAAATACAAGAATGTTTTAATGTTCTACCTCCCATTTCTCTTTCTAATAATCCATATTAAATCCTATTTTTGCTTCTACTTCTCTATTTAAACTCATCATCTCCCCTATACTTTAACACAACTTTCATATTTCATAATTTTTTTTTATCTCAATTTTTCTAAAGTTTCCATTGTTGCTCTCTCTCCAAGCTTCCAAGTTTATTTTTCTTCATCTTATTCTTGAAAGAGTTTTTGATTCTATTGTGAGAAAATAGTTGTGAGTGATCAAATTGTAAATCTACTCTTTTAGATGGTTATGGTGTGTTCCTACAAAATTCAGATACTTGTAATTGTTTGTTCCTAAGCCGTGGAAAGGATTGAGTTTGCTCTTGAACTCGTAAAAAGAGCGGGGTGTAGCGGTTGGGTTTTGATCCGAGGAAAGAGTCGAGAAAAGTTTTTTAAAATTCTCAAGAGGCGCTTGGGGAGTGGAGTAGGTCGAGTTTGACCGAACCACTACAAAACTACAGTGTTATATTTTCCAACTCTTTCATGTTTAATCTCGAAATTCTTATTGTGATTTATTGCATGTGATAAGTTTTTCATAATTGCTTATTGTTATTTCTTGAACTATTTTGTTGTATTAATTATCATCTTCTACTTATTTTTTTTAAAAAAAATAAATCATACTAAAAAAAATTAATCACTTAACTTTATTGTTAAAAGTCTATTCACCCCTCCAGGGTTGTCATACCGATCCAACAATTGGTATTAGAGCAGGTTGCTCTTATAGATTTTTTATGTAAACTTTATTGTTAGAGTTTATGGTAAACCTACGTGTTAATAATGGTTTTTGTGAAGAACAATCAATCTCTAGGCCTCCTTACTTTGATGGAAAAAATTATACTTATTGTAAAGCTAATTTGTTTGCAATCGGTTGATTATCAGTTATCAATTATGGTTAAGTGTTAGCAAAGACCCTTACATCCCAATAATTAAATGGAGGATGAATCTGATGAGTGAAAAAGTGTTATTTTAATACTAATGCTACAAATGTCTTTATTATGTCCTAAGTAAGGATGAATTTAGTAGAGTATCTATGTGTTATTCAACGTATAAAACTTGAAAAACACTTGAGGGAACAAATCAAGTTAAAGAAAGAAAGATTAACATGTTAGTTTATAGTTATGAACTATTTAAATTGGATGCATATGAATCTATAGGTGATATCTTTACTAGATTTCCTAATATTCTAAATGCTTTGAAAAATCTTGGAAAAATATATTCTACTCCGAAAAATGTAAGGAAAATTCTCAGGTCTCTGCCTAAAAGTTGGGAAGCAAAGGATCTCACAAAGCTTCCTTTGGATGAACTTGTTGGTTCTCTCATGACACATGAGATTACCATGAATGAGCACATGATACAGGAATCCAAAAAGAAGAAAAGAATAGCCCTAAAGTCCATCACATTGGAAGTTGACTCCGACGATGAGGAAGCCCCTGATGAAGATGATGTTGCCTACTTCACACGTAAGTATAAAAAATAGCATGGTGAAAAAAGCAGGGTCATATGCTATGAAAACATGATGAGATAATATGCTATGAATGAAAAAAGCAGGGTCATAAAAGAACGGATTGTCTCTCCTCAAATCATCTAAGAAATCCAAGGAAAAAGCAATGAGGGCTACACTACTTGGGATGATTGTGATGAAAGTGCATGTGATGAAAAAGTAACAAATTTTTGCTTCATGGTTCATAGTGACAAAGAGGATGAACAAGATGATGAGGTTTGTTTGAATGCCTCCAATAAAAATAAGTGGTACTTGGATAGTGGTTGACACATGACGAGAAATCAATTCAAGTTTGTGAATTTTTCCAAGAAGGATGGTGGCTTAATAACCTTTCGTGGTAACAAGAAGGGTAAAATAATTGGTGAGGGTACTGTAGCTAATGACACTTGTACTTTTATTGAAAATTTATTTGAAACTGATGGTTTAAAGCATGACTTGCTGAGCATTAGTCAATTGTGTGATAAAGGTTTTAGAGTTATATTTGATAAAAATAATTGCATAATTTAAAATGTTACTGATAAAAAAGTTTTGTTAGTTGGAAGAAGAGATGGCATTGTGTAAACTAATGATTTAAATTATTGTCCTACAAGATAAATGTCTTTCGGCTTTACACAATAACTCTTGGCTTTGGCATAGAAGATTAGGACACCCTAGTATGTACTTGATTTCAAATATCTCAAAAAATTCATTAATGAGAAGCCTTCCTACATTTAAATTTGAAAAAGATAAAATTGTTCAAAAAACAAGTTTTCTTCCAAATCTAAAAATGTGATTTGTACTAGACCTCTTCAACTATTACGTATGGACTTATTGGGCTCTCCTAAAATAGCTACATAAGGAGGGAATTGCTATGCCTGTGATGGTTGATATTTTTGGAGATTTATTTGGGTTTTAACCATAAAACATAAGAATGATGTTTTGAATTTTTTTTTTAATTACTAAAATTAGGAGGGACCATTGGGGAGAATTGGATACTTTAGCATTTGAAATATTTTGCAAAGATAATGCTTTTTATCATGACTTCTCTTGTCCAAGGACTCGTGTTGAAAGGAACACGGGTACTTTGAAAGAATTTGCTAGATCAATGTAATACTCTTTCTAATGAGTATATTTAGAGTGATCATTTAGAAAGAAATTCTGGAGATTTACGTCAATGACAAAGGCAAAGAAACTATTTCAAGTAAAGAAGAGGTGAGCTCAAATGAAAAGAAGGAAGAAATTTCTTAAGATATGCCTTATCTCATCCCAAGGACTTGATTATTGGTGATCTCGAACAAGTGAAAACTCGTTCTTCTATTAATTTATTTGATAATCTTGCTTTTGTTTCTCAAATTTAACCAAAAAGACTTAAGAATGCTGAAAATGATGGTTTTGGATTTTAGTTATGCAAGATGAACTTAATCAATTTGAAAGGAACAAAGTTTGGGAATTAGTCCTTCGGTCCTCTAATATTTCCATTATTAGAAGTTTTTAGAAATAAAATTGATGAAAATGAGAATATCATTACAAAAAAATTTAGGCTTGTAGCTCAAGGTTATTGTCAGGAGGAGGTATAGACTATGAAGAAACTTTTGCACTGGTTGCTAGATTAGAAACTATTAGAATGTTACTTGTTGTTGCTTCTTACAAAAATTTTATATTGTATCAAATAGATGTTAGAAGTTCATTCTTAAATGGGTATATCATGGAGGAAGTTTACGTAGAACAATCTCCCGGATTTGAAAATTTTGATTTTCAACATCATGTCTAAGTTGAAAAAGGTTCTTTATGGCTTAAACAAGCTTTAAGAGCTTGTGTTAGACTTAGTAATTTTCTTATTCGGAATGATTTTAAAATGGGTAAACTCGACACTGCTCTTTTATTAATATTAAAGAAAATGATATGCTATTAGTGTAAATATATCTTGATGATATCATATTTGGTTCTACTAATCCTTCTTAATAATTTTCTAAATGGATGCATAATGGGTTTGAGATGTGTATGATGGGAGAGCTTAGTTTCTTTCTCGGACTTCAAATCAAACAACTCAAAGATGGTATCTTAAGAGAAATACACTAAGGATTTACTCAAAAGCTTCAAGTTCAATGGAGGTAAGATTGCAAAAACTCCAATGAGCACATCCACTGAGCTTGACAAGGATGAAAAAGGTAAATGTGTGGATATTAAATCTTATCGAGAGGTATGATTGGATGTTTAGTTTATTTGACCACTAGTAAACCAGATATTATGTTTAGGGTATGTCTTTGTGCTAGGTTTCAATCCTGTCCCAAGGAATCTCATTTACATGCACTTAAAAGAATATTTAAATATTTGCTTTTGACTATTAATTTAGAATGATAGTATCCTAGAAATGTTGAGTTTAAATTTGTAGGATATTCTGATGCGGATTTTATGATGATATATTAGAATGCATTGATATGATTATTTGGACATTTGTATTATTTTAGGTTTTCTTAATTTCATATTATTTGGACATGGCCAAAGCGACTTTTTTGTTTTAGGAACAAATCTCGAAGAGGCACTCGGGACAACAAGGGTAGATGATTAATGAGGAATCAATTAGAACTTTCGGACCTACACGGTAGCTTAGAGCACAATAAAGGGTAGGCCCGAACTTTCTATAGACCAAAGGAAAGTCGTGGAAACCTAGTAGAAGAAGGAAGCAACGAGGGCCTAAAAGTAGGTTGGTTACCAAGTATATTTTTATACTTACACCTTTCTCCTTTTCTAGTTGGTCAAGGTGGAGAGATGCTCTGGAGCTCTACAATCATAGAGGGGTGTCGACCCGGAGTGTATGTTTTAGTTGTATTCGACCTGGGACATCAATTAGTTGTATAATTTTTTTCGTTTGTAAATATCTTGAAATTTCTGACACAGGTGTTGTACGTCGTTTTAAATTTATCTTTTCATCGCAGTTCGATTTCTCGAGATCCAACATCGGTTTGAGAGGGGAAGGAAGCATTCCTTATAACTAGGGTGTGAATACCTCTATGAGATCGTGAGGTAACGGGCCATCTCTTGATGATATTCTGCCACACTTTTTGTTCCTTGCCTCAAACCTTGCAATTTAGTTTTCAAATTTCTTTCATAATGTTTTGGAACATACCTTTTTCTCATGGCTTCTTTAAGTTCTTCCCAAGTCTCTATTGGATCCTCCTCTTTTCTTCTTCTCTCGGATTTGAGATGTTGGTACCAATCACCGACATGATTGGTAAATTCGGCAATAGCAAGTCTCGTCTTCTTATTTTCACTATAGGTGTTGCAATCAAACAAATGCTCTATCTTTCTTTCCCATTGCAAGTATTCATCAGAATCTGCCGTTCCACAAAATTGTGGGATTTTAAGTTTAACTCCTCCATCTCTATCTTCATGTACTCTTTCCATCATTCTAGGTTGCATAATAGTTGCATGGTTATTTCTTCCTCTCCATCTTCCTTCAACTTGTCTTTCTTGTACTACTATACTTTCATCTTCTCGTAATGTTCGTTCTTGTCTTTGTTGTTGCGCCCTTCTTTCTTGCCTATCTTTCCATCATCATTTCCATCATATCTTGAATAGCTTGAAGAATGGTTGTATTAAGATCTGGTACGGGTTCTCCTTCTCCATTATGTGACATTTTGTTATCAAGGGGCCTCTTCACACTTCTCACAAAAATTTCACTTAGGGACACTCGTGTTTAACACTCAAAGGTAGGATTTTGGTACTAGGTCAAGAATGTAGACGTTGGTTTTTTTTTTTTTTCGATAATCTGAGAGAGAAAAAAAAATTGATAGAAAAAATATATAACAATAAAGATATTCACCTCTAGTGCGGCCAAAGAACATCGACCAAATGATCTGATACCAAATGATAAGCGCCAACAATGCTGGATTTTGCAAAACTAGAGGTCCTTCTAGAATCCCTGCCAAAACGTTTACAGAGAAAGCTAACTTAACGGATTGATTCCAACCAAGAGCTGGTTAGAAGATGAATGACTCTTAGATCGAACTTGGAATCTATGATGGTCACTTTTAGATACCAAGATAATTCACTCAAGAATTAGCTTGATCAAAACTAATTCAATGAATCGGTTTAAACATCAAACTTAAAGCAAGATTTGAAAAAGAATAACACCAAAAGGGTATCAAGAAAAACACAAAGGTTTTGTCTGTATTCAAGCAAAAAAAAACATCCAAACATGAATATTACATGCCTCTAAATATGCCCAAAACATAACCCTAACAAAATAAATCTCAGCCACCAACAACTAATAAATGCTAATAAATGCTATTAAATACAAATCGAAGAAAATAAGGTAATTCATAAATTGTCTTAATTGGTAGTTCAAATACCAAAGCTAAGTCTTCATATTACTTTCCAATATCAGTCACTCCAATATTTTCTTCATTTGATTCTTGAATCTTCTTTGTATTGCTTCTTGCAATTGCTCGTTCGGGTACACGGAAGTTATAAGTTGTTGGATTCATATCAGAAATCAATTAGTTGTATAATTTTTTTCGTTTGTAAATATCTTGAAATTTCTGACACAGGTGTTGTACGTCGTTTTAAATTTATCTTTTCATCGCAGTTCGATTTCTCGAGATCCAACATTGGTTTGAGAGGGGAAGGAAGCATTCCTTATAACTAGGGTGTGAATACCTCTATGAGATCGTGAAGTAACGGGACAAAGTGGACAATATCTTATAAAAAAGTATTCCTTATAAACGAGTCGCTTTGCTATTACAAAAAAATGAACTTTTCGTCGCCTAGGAGATTCAAACTCTCGCGAGGAAAACCCATGTACTTAGTAGGCACACGCCTTAACCACTCGTTCAAAGCAACTTTTTTATTTTAGGATTGAATCTCGAAGAGATACTAGGGACAACAAAGGTAGATGATTAATGAGGAATCAGTTAGAACTTCGAGACCTACACGGTAGCTTAGAGCGCAGTAAAGGGTAAACCCAAACTTCCTGTACACCAAAGGAAAGTCGTGGAAACCTGGTAGTAGAAGGAAGCTATGCGGGCTTACAAGTATGTTGGTTATTAAGTATATTTTTATATTTACACCTTTCTCCTTTTCTAGTTCAGTTACTTGTCAAGGCGGGGAGATACTCGGGAGTTATACTATCACAAAGGGGTGTCGACTCGGAGTGTATGTTAGTTGTATTCGACCTCGGACATCAATTAGTTGTATAATTTTTTCGGTTGATTTTGAATTCTTTTGTATTCCAAGCCCTTTTTCCAGTATGTAAATAACTTTGAAATTTCAGACCGAGGTGTTGTATGTCTTTTAGAGTGTAAAAGATTTTATCTTTTCATCGCTTCCATCCCAGATTCAACATATTTGAGAGGGAACAAAACATTCCACACATAAGGGTGTGAATACCTCTATGAGGTCGTGAAGTAAGGAGCCAAAGTGGACAACATGTTTTTGCGATGGCCTTTGGCTAGTACAAAAAAATAAACTTTTCGTCGCCTGAGCAATTCGAGCTCTCACAGGGAAACCCCATGTACTTAGCGAGCACACGTCTTAACCACTCGACCAAACACTAGGGAAAACAATGATAGATGATTAATGAGGAATTAATTAGAACTTCAGGACATACAAAGGGCCTACAAGTAGGTTGGTTACTTAGTATATTTGTATACTTACACCTTTCTCCTTCTCTAGTGTAGAGGTCAAGGTGGGGATATGGAAACTTAGTAGAAGAAGGAAGCGATGATTTTTTCTAGTGTACTGGTCAAGGTGGGGAGCTGCTCGGGAGCTCTACTACCACAAAGGGGTTTCGACTCGGAGTGTTGATTAAAGTGTAAAATATTTATCTTTTTCATCACTTGAGAAGTTCGAACTCTCGCAGGGAAACCCCATGTACTTAGCAGGCACACGCCTTAACCACTCACCCAAAGAACCTTTTTTGTTTTAGGAACGAATATCGAAGAGGCACTAGGGACAACAAAGGTAGATGATTAATGAGGAATCAATTAGAACTTCGGGACATACACGGTAGCTTAGAGCGCAGTAAAGGGTAAGCCCAACGACCTATAGACCAAAGGAAAGTCGTGGAAACCTAGTATTAGAAGGAAGCGATGAGGGCCTACAAGTAGGTTGGTTCCTAAGTAAATTTTTATACTTACACGTTTCTCCTTTTCTAGTGTATTGGTCAAGGTGGGGAGATGCTCTGGAGCTCTACTATCATAGAGGGGTGTCGACCCGGAGTGTTTTAGTTGTATTCGACCTGGGCCATGAATTAGTTGTATAATTTTTTGGGTTCGATTTTGAATTCTTTTCGTCAAATCTTGGAGGAAAACATGGTGTGATTAGCAAGCACACACCTTGACAACTTATTCAAAATGACTTTATGGTTTTATGAATAGTAGTCTTGAAGAGACACTAGTAGAGGAGTGTCGACCCGGAATGTTTGTTACTTGTATTTCACGTGGGACATCAATTAGTTGTATTCTCTTTGAACAGGTGCTGTCTGTCTTTTCAAAATTTATCTTTTCGCTGCAGTTCCATTTCTCGAAATCTCAAAAATTGGGTCGTGACAAATCTAATTCATGGATTATTTCTAGTATCTACATTATCCATTAACTCTGTTAGTTCAAATTCATGGATTCTCGACAGTGGAGCTTCGAATCATATAGTATCCAAAGCTTTTGTTATGACTGAACCAAAGACTGCAAACATTTGCAATAAAATTGCCTAACGAAGGAACAACACATGTGTCACTTACGGTCAATGTTTTCTTTAATCCTGGCCTTAAATTAAACAATATTTTATGTGTGTCTCCATTCAATTTAAACATGTTGTCCATTAGCAAACTTACCAATGACTTGAAATGTTGTGTCACCTTCTATCCTGATTCTTGTGTTATGCAGGACTTGGCTAAGGTGAAGATGATTGGCTCGGGTAAACAATTTGGAGGTCTCTATCATATTTCTTAGTCTCCAATCAAATCTTTAACTAATCAAGTATCTCAATCATCTAATTTGTGACATTTACGCCTAAGTCATTCTATTTATTTTTTCCTGTTTTAAATTTCTAACGGATCAATTTCATCTTAATAATGCTACTTTTTCTCATAACTGTAGTATTTGAACGTTAGCAAAATAAACTAGGTTGTTTTTTTTCAAGAAGTTCAATAACAACACATTCTACCTTTGACATGTTACATTGTGATGTGTGGGGATCTCATAAAATTCCTATCCATTTTGGTTTGCGTTTTCTTCTCACTATTGTTGATGATTTTACTCAATGTACTTGGGTTTTTCTTATGCAACATGAATCAGAAGTACATCATTTGTTTATGAACTTTGTTAAATTCGTTCAAACTCAATTTCATACTACTATCAAGATAGTACGGTCAGACAATGGGACTGAGTTTCTGTCTTTACAACCATTTTTTACTTTGTGTGGCATTGAATTTCAGCGCACTTGTGTCTATACTCCCCAACAAAGATGAGCCATAGAGCGTAAGCATCGTCATATCCTAAATGTAGCTATCATCATATCCTAAATGTAGCTAGGTCTCTCCTCTTTCAGTCACAAGTTCCACTTAATTTTTTGGGAGAGTGCATTTTAATTGTTGTTAATCTTATAAATAGAACACCATCACAATTTTTATCTAACAAGACACTCCTTGAAGCACTCTACAAACAACCACCTACATTTCATCTTCTTAAAGTTTTTTAATGTAAATGTTATGCAATTGTAGTACATCCTAAGCAAAAATTTGAATCTCGGGCAATTTCTTGTGTTTTCGTAGGATATACTGATGGTTACAAAGGCTCCAAGTTGTATGACATACAAGCTCACAAATTATTTATCCACTGTGATGTTAAATTATGTGAAGATGTTTTTCCTTTTTCATCAGCTTCACAAACTTTGACATTAGTTCCTTCGACTCTCGTTTTACCACTTCATGATTCATCCTACTCAAACATCTATTCTAATCCTATCCCACTTTCTATTTCGTCATCTCCTCCACTTTCTATTCCTTCTCCAGATTCACCAACTAATTATAATCCTATCCCTCCTGATACACCAGTTTCACTCCGATGTTCTACTCGTACCAAACAACCTTCAGCTTGGCATAATAATTATGAGATGTCTTATGCAGCCAATTATTTAACCTCTAGCTCAAGTCCCAACATGAGCACCAGGCATCCCCTTCATCATTACCTTTCTTTCTCTAGTGTTTTTCCTACTCAATCTGCTTTTCTATCTCTTATTACAGCCCGACATAAGTTAAAACTTATGATGAGGTAGTTGGCAACCCATTATGGCAGCAGGTTATGAATGCTGAAATTGCAACTTTGGAACGTAATCATACTTGGTCTCTCGTTCCTCTACCACCTGGCCATAAAGCTATTGGCTATCGTTGGGTGTACAAGATTAAATAGAACTCTGATGGTTCTGTTGAACGTTATAAAGTTTATCCGGCAGTAAAGGGGTATACTC